AGAAAACAATCTCATAAACTAGGGTTCTCGAAGGATTCATTCGACCCCAAGTTCATTTACAGGTATAATAAGTATCAACAGAATATAAAGGGCATAATGCTGGATATAAAAAAATGCATGCGACATGTGCAAATATCAATTTCTACTGGCCAGAGAACAATGTAGGTATTATGCACGTCTGCAACCTACCTAAATGTATAAGGATTCTCCCCATACCCTACACTCAAGCATCACCATCTCATGTAGGTACACATTGTAACCCCTTATATATATCAACACATTATGCCATAAATCATTTTCAAATATTATAAATATATATATATATATATATATATATATATATATATATATCAGTGCATAAATCATTTTCAAAAAATATACCATTCACATAAACCAATCCTCATGGAGTTTGGTGGAACAAGTAAGGGATTAACCCTGAGAACCAAAAGTTTATCCTTAATCGCAACATACTCCAATGTACTTTAAGTATCCAAAGAACCACAACCATAGGCCCTCACAAAATCACAAACTATTTTAAAGATATAAAGGCAATTAGTAAATATAATAATTTACGACATTCATTTCAATATTGTCTTTTACATAGTCATTCTTTACGTGGCGACACCAACTTAAGGTGGGAGAAACTAATTCAACTCTCTAAGGTCTCATAACCTTAAACATCACTTACAAGCACAATAGAGTCTATAAATCATTTCCTTGAAGAACAGTCCAAAGAAACTAACTCTATTTGCGAATACGACAATCATTTCCTTTAAGGTTCACAGAGATTCAAGCTATCATTTTTACACATGTTCTTACTAGTTGTCCTTTAGGTTATTAAAATTCAGAATTTATATAACTCAAAGCTTGCTTTTTTCGTTAAAACACAAGAGGGATGCTTGGTTTATACCTTGGGCTCACCAAAATAGAGGAAGGAGAGGACTTTGGAGGCTTTTAATCCCCATTCCAACATTGTCCTACCATGAGCACAAAAATAACGTGGTGAGGATGGGTTATTTCACTACAAAGGAAGCTACTTGATGGTCCAACGTGTGTGTAAGTGGCTCAAACCAACAAAATAAGGAAAGACAACCCTTAATCCTCACCAAAACAGAATCTATGACACTCTAAGAAGAGATTTTTTTTTCCCTTCAAGATGGTGGCTTTTAAGAGTCTACAATGGTGAGATGGTTAAGTGGTAAAGAAAGATGGTGTATTTCTTGGTTTTCATGGAGGAATAAGAGGATTTCTAAGAGCAGAGGAAAGGAGCAACCCTAAGTGTTGGAAGAAGGCACTCTACGTGAGTATTATGAAAAATAAGATGGTGAGTGTGTTTTTAGGTCATATTAGTCGATCTCACTTAATTTAGCCGATATAGACACATTCATACCACTCACTTAACTCTCTATTAATTTTGGACAACAGAGTCTTGTAAAAATCTTGGATCATTATCCACTAATTTATTTTAAGCTTCAAGTAATTTTACATACCTATATTTTCTATTGTTAAACACACAGAATCCTCACTTTTCATTGAAAGTTATCTAATTTTAAATAATTAGAATTTTCTACTAATATTAACATAACTATTTTTTTGTCATTTTAACTTCATAAAATTTATGAAAAAATAATCACTAATTATCTTTAAGATTCAGTTAACTTTGCCCACTGTATTTTTACTGCAAAACACTCATTATTTATCTTTTTCTTAAAAAGGTGATTTAATTCTACTAATTAGATTTACCATCTAATAATTCTCATTTAATTATTATCTAATTTCTAAAATCTCTATTTAACAGCGTAGTTCTTACATAAACCATTGAATCAAAGTAGCTTAGATGAAATGACATAGAGCATCAAGATTTTTGTGTGATCAAAAATCTCTCTTAGGCTAAAAGAAATTTTTTATAAATTAACAATAAGAAATATTAAAGAGCTGAATCATGATTAACATAGAATCAACATGAGCATAAATTGAGAGTAGCGGATATGAGGATGTTAAAATAGATTTGTGGTTACACAATAATGGATAAAATAAATAATAAAATTATTCAACGAGAGGAAGAAGTTGATCGAAAGAAGTTCTTAATTACACAAATTGAAAATACGAAAGAACATCAGATGAGATGGTTTGGGCATATTTTTCGAAGACTCCTAGATGCTCTCGCAAATTACTCAAAGAGAGGAAGAAGTTGATCGAAAGTTGAAACTTACTTGAGGGAAAATAGTAAGATAAAACTTAATGAATAAAGAAATAAATTAGAGAATATCAAGACAAAATGAAGGAAATCTAACATCTTTATGAAAAAGGGTAGATCCATAATTGCCTATGTTACACATGACACTTTTTAGTCATATTTCCCTATATTTAATTTTTCTATATATTTATATCTATTTATTCATTTACTTTTCAAACAATCTTTTTTTTCTTTCCATTTGAGCTTCTCAACCATCAACTCCAATTAATTCGGGAGAAAACAATTTTGATTTTAATGTTATTTAAGTTAACTGTATGCCAGGTCAAAGGATTTAATGTTTCTTATGTTGGAGAATATAATTTTATCTCTATCTCCTACATACACATATAAGTGTGTGGGGCTCATGTTTTCTCTTTCTATCTCTTCTCCTCATGGGTCCACATTGTAACACCTCGTATGCATCCAGTTTGTTATCATTATATATGGTATTTAGTACAATTATAATCGCAGTAATTGATTATAATTACGGATAAATTTTTTCTTTTTCTTTTCATTCATCACCATTGATGAATTATGCATTCAATTCTATCAATAATTTAATTGTAATCTTTACACATTACTTGCAACTCAAGCAATCTGAACACTTTATTCTTGAAATTTTCCAAAATATCAAAGTGTGACAAAATGATGATTTAACAACACTTTCACCATTTATTTATGCTCCTAGGCATACTTTCCAACTGGAAAGCACGGGCACGCAAATTTTTTTAAAATTTGCGTATCGGACACAGACACGTTCAGACACGCTCGGACACGCGTCCGACACGCAGTCAACATTTAGGGACACGTGGTCAACTCTCTGACACGTTTCGACACGTTTTTCTGACACGCAGTCAACTTTTTTCGACACGCGGTCAACGCTCGGACACGCTAGGACACGTTTTCAGACACGCTCAGACACTTTTTTTTTTAAATCTTAATTTTATTTTGTTAACTAAATATAAAAAGAATAATTTATAAATTAATTTTTTTTCTATTATGAAATTTGACATGAAAAATTAACAACGTACGAAAAATTATTTATATTTATATTTATGTTATGAGATTTAAATATTTGATTGGTTATATGATTTATTATAGACTCTTATATGTATTAAATATAAATTATATTATATATATTAAAATTTTTATTTAATATCAAAATGTGTCCCAACGTGTCAAAATATGACATTTTTTAGAATTAACGTGTCGGCGTGTCGTGTCGTGTCCCGTGTCCCGTGTCCGTGTCCGTGCATCATAGCTTTCCAACATAAAAAATGTCTAAATCATACTCAAGCACCACCAACTCATGATTTTCTCATAGCACTGTTCATGAAAACCCAACATTGAAGAACCTTGATAAAAACATGAAATAGGTTGTGGAAACTCACCATATACCAATCTAGAATGCAGTGGTGATGCTTTTCCAAGCTTCTATGGTGTTAGAACACCTCTATTTCCCCAAAACACAAAATCACTCTACACTTTCCATGGAGATATCTTTCACACCAAGACTCCTCAAGTGGTTTTGTTTGGATGGTTTTGTTCTCCTCAATTTACCTTCCAACACCAAAGTATTTTACCAAGCAAGGCAAAAGCTAGGTTTTAAGGTTGGTTAGCAATGGAGGAGGCTCACTTTTCGGGTTGAAGAAAATGAGGAATCGAGGAAGATGATGTATTTGGTCTTAAACTTCTCACTTAATCACTTAAGCAAACTTACTTTATGCTTTTTGACTCTCTTCTTAATAATTCCTTCTATGTCCATTCTCTTTTAATAATATCTACTAGACATAACTTAGTACTTAAAATGTGTAATTTACTCATAAATTTCACAAATTAGCTTCTCGTTAATTTATCTCAAAGTTTTCAATAATTAGAGATGGTAAAACGGGCTCGGCTCAGCGGGTCAACTCGCCCCACCCGCTAAACGGGGCGGGCTGAGTTTTTCAACCAATCTAAAAAGTGGGGCGGACTCATTTTTTGGCGGGCTGAGACGGGTCAGTGTAAAATAGGCTCAGGCTGACGGGCCAACCCGCCCAACCCGTCAAACGAGGCGGGGCGGGCTAAGTTTTTCAGCCTACTTTCAAAAGTGGGGCGGGACGGGCTGGTTCATTTTTTAGCGGGTTGATGGCAGGGTGGGGCGGGACGGGCTGCCCACTTTGCCATCTCTATCGATAATTATGACTACAATGCAGTTTTTACCGTAAACTTACAATAATTGTACTTTTACATTGAAAAGTAACTTAAATTACATTTAATAAAATTATTATCTCATATAAGGGAAAATTGTTTATCATTTTAAAGGGTGTAAAGTTATGTCATTTTAAGTGAGAGAAAGAGATAGATAAAGGAGAAGAGAGAGTGGGCAAAAAAATATAAAGTGCGGATCTCGCCTCTTTGTGAGAGTGAAATGACATAAATTGTGTCATTTAAAAAGACAAACATTTTCCCCCTCATATAATCATGATTAAATAATTAATCATATATTAATTTAACCATTCTCAGGTTAGGGTTATTAAACACATGGGCCTACATATATTATAGGAGATAAAATTATATACTATAACATGAAAAACATTAAACTCTGAGTCATATGTAGGTAAAATGTAATTCATGTTAGCAAATTGTTAAACAATTCGGCCTAATCGGATTAATTAGTTCGTTGGTCTGCATATATTATTTATTTATATAATTGAATTTCAAAGATTATATTGTAAATAATTTATTTAATTTACTTTTATTAAAAACTTAAATTATTTGTAGACAACTGCGTAAATAATTTAAAAAGACGACATGAAATTTTAAATTATTGTGAAGTGGAGCATCCGTTTTCTCGCCAGCTTTATTTTTTAACGGCTCTATTGGAGATATGTGTCTCCATCCATAGCATTAACTACTTAATGCGGAATTGCTCAAGGACCTCACCAGCTCTCTTCCCAGTGGTGATTCGAAGTTCCCTGAACTCTTCATATTTGAATGGACGATAGAGGCGTTCATGATTAGTGTCTACCAACTCTTTTGGGGCCTCAACATAACCATACCTTGATGCTAACATAAATGTACCAAATGAATGACGAGTGGTTGTTTCCTTACATATTACACGATGCTCCATATTGCGAAATCTTCCATTGCTCCATGCCTATATAAAGATACATTTCAAGAGCATGCATGAAATTTACGAATGCCAAAATAACATTTAATATAAGTCAAAGTGCTATGTATGCTTACATGAGCAACATCTCCAATAATGCAAAGGAAAGACCCTGATTTGGGAGGGATAGCCACAAAAGAGCCAGAGTCATCCATCATCTCAAGACCACTAACATGTTCATCATCTTGAAGCAGAGTTATGAATCCTGTATCTGAGTGTAGTTCTACACCTAATTCACCTACAGTTTCTGGGGTGAAGTTATATTTGACCATCCTAAAAATGGATGGCCAGTCTTTAAAATCAGAACCCACCACGCCAACAGACTCAGCCATCTTTTGTGATATAATTGATGCCAAGTCATGAATTGCTTGGCCATATGCTTCTATTATGTGCCTACCAAGCAATAAACCCAAACTAATCAACCAATGTTATAAATATAACTATATTTTATATTATATTTTTTAACATTTCTCCTTAATAAAAGTTTATTGGATTTGATAGATGAACAATGCATCAAGCTCCTATTTGTCTATGTTAAGAAATTTTATAATATTTAATCGTTATTATTTTTAATAAAATAGGAAAGGGGAGGAGTTACATTTACAGTAATACCACATAAAGAGCGAATTTATCTAAAAAGTTTAATTTATTAAGTGAAAATCACATTAATAATTCTACATTATATTTGTCTAATAGAAAGGTTAGTAATAGAAATGTTAGTATTTTATAAAGTTATTTAATTTAAGCATACCAACAACAAAAAAATGTTAGTTAATTTAGTTTTTTTTTTTTTTTCGTACGGGAGCCTTTTAGAGGTATTAACATAAATCTCTACTTAAAAATTTTTTGTTAATATTTTGCGAAGTTATTTGACTTTTGTGAGAACACAAAAAGGATAGAGGCGCCTTACTTTTAAAAATTGTACAGGTTTAATTGTGCTCTGCTTTTTTTTTCTTGTAATTATTTCATAGAGTAGTTAATGAAAATGTGTTTTTTTTTTCAAAATGTTAAAAATCAAAACATAAAATAGAAACAACTGAAATATATTTTTTAAATTTGATTCTCAAATTAAAAAGTAAATATAATTTTTAAGATTTTAATGTTTCTAAAGTGAATGTAGATAAGTTATCTACATTCGCCCTAAAAATGACGTCATTTTGGATTGAAAAATTAAAAAATTATAATGAAAAAGACTATAATAACACTGAAATAAATTATAATTACAAAAATACCTTGATTTTCGCCTCAAAACGACATCATTTTAGGCTCAATGTAGATAAGTTATTTACATTGACCGTAGAAAAAGCGAACCCAATTTTTAAACTACTTTTACAAAACAAGTATTATCAAATCATTTTATTTTATTCTGAAAATTAAAAAATATTTATGGAAACAGAATTCAAAGAGCTCCATGATCTTTAAATTTGATTCTAAAAACTAGGAAAATAGATATAATTTTTAGAATTATTTTTACAAAACGGATATTATTAAATAATTTTTTTTATTCTGAATATTAAAAAACTATTTTTGGAAATAGAATTCAAACAGACCCAATACACCTTTTAAGTTTTGGTTTATCTTTTTATAGAGGACACTTAAGAATACTTGTTAACAAAATCAAAACATGAAAGAATTGTAAAAAAATAGGATTTATTGAGAGAGTAAAGGAACCTGTGGTGGGGTGGGAGATCCAACTCAGAGCAGAAATTGTGAACTGCTTGTGGTGATGAACACATGTCATATATTCCTAAGCCCTCATATAGAGGACTTGCTGCACTTGATGGCACGTAGCCACTGCCACTGATGACGGCTTTGTTGCGCTTTTTTGTCTCGTTAGGAAGGTCATGTAGATATTTAGCCACGGATTTCATATCAGCCATGAGTGTTATTGAAATAGGGTGGTTGATGATTCTGAAACACCCACATTTCTCACATGCCTCTCTTACTTTCTTGCACTCCTCTTCCTCACAAAGTTGCCGAAAATCCACAACCGGAACGCTATCCCCCATCTATGGACATAATTTTCAATACGAAATTATCATGAATCATGATACGAAATTTTCAATATGTATTGAAGCTGACTCGTTTTCAAAAAAATTTCATATTCGTGTTGACAAAACTTACCAGGAAAACATATATTATGTTATAAAACAAATATCATGTTATATGTATATCTACAAACACAACACTAGCTCATATTAATTTTATTCCTTTTAAATTATTTGTGTTATGTCATATCGTGTCAACAAAACAATATTTGGGTACACAAATTATTTGTGCCTTGTCCACTCACATTATACGCAGGATAAAATTCATATATTGTTTTTATTGTTTCTCCTATTCTGTACCAGGAAAGTTGTATTTTCTTATCTCAATATATAATGTAATTATTCTCTCATTGCATACAGATAAAAGTAGTAATATTTTTCAATTTTGTAAAAAAAATTCTACTCTTATCCGTAAATTTTTTCCTTATCGAGAGTTAAGGGTCGAGAGGTTTTCACGTTAAATAATGTTTTCAGTTTCTAATTTTTCTTAACTCTGTTTTTTATGAGGTATATTGCTTCCGTATACCCAACATTACATAATCCGGATTGCATATTAAGTGGTCATACACTTCTTCTTTGGTCTTCCACTTTCTAAAACAACATTTACTACATAGACATAATATTCTGCCCACACTAGATTGTTAATTGGAAGGCATAATCTAAAAAACCATTCAACCCAGCTTCATACTTGGGTGCATTGCATGGCATTTTAATCAAAGATTTATACATCATTGAATACAATTAATGTTCATCCATTTAGCTCAAAAAGAAATGCAATGTGTTCATGTTTCATTACTAAATAATCCTATATGGGTAAGCGCTATCAAATCCAAGATTGTAAAATTCATATTTTACTATAGCCTTTATTCTTGATCTAGTAAAATTTCAACAGCATCTCCCCTTAGTTCACCAAGCACACAACGTAATCTAGATGATATTATCAACTAAATTAGATATGTACCCAGAGAAAAATGGAAAATACTATATGAAATAACATTAGTAGATTAGAAAAAAAAAAAACTATATATAGAATATTAATAGTGAATTTTCAATCCTAGACTGTCCACTTTGAACAATTCAACAATGACTTATATATTGTGCTTAAAACAAAATACAAGTCATTATTGAACAGGAAACAACGGGAAATATATGAGCATATAATAAAAAATGATTTAGGTAATAAAAAACAGAAAAATGATAATAAAAAAAAAAGAAAAAAAGTACAAGGTAAAAGAATGATACCTTGATCCTGATAATTATCGAACACTCTCTTCTCCTTTTATGCAATGGGACTTCAATTTTACAGTAGGATTTCAATATCTACAGACAACATATAATATAGAAAACATGATAACAGTTAGATGAAAAATTACATAACAATTTTTAAAAAAAACATTAAAACTTATTATAATAATAATATATCTACACTAACACTACCACCCTGTTTGCGAGGTTACTCTTGAATTAGAATGTTGGAATTTCAGAATGTAGCTGCACCATGGAGGTTTTAAAAAAAAAAATGCCCAAAGAAATCCAAGTGCAACAACTGCTCCACCGTTAAACTGATCCCATTTTCTAATGAAATAAGTTTGTATCACGATGTTTTATGAAGCTCAAAGCTGTAACAGTAACACGAAGAAGGAGAGATGGGTCCTCATGATTCATGAACTACAGACCGCAGATTCATTTATTATCAATTATTAATATTATGAACTTGGAATGGGGACACTGAATAAAAGACAAACCTCATTTTCTTATTTTCAGGTTCGCCAATAAATGACCAACCTCACTTCGGTCAAATCCGAATTTTATACCAACCTCACTTCGGTCAAATCCGAATTTTATTAATTAACATGATAATGTTAACGGTTTGGTGTTTGTCATTTTAAATGATATAAGTTATGTCATTTTAAATGACTAACCTCCTAAGCTCTCTTTTTTAGCTTTAGTTTATAAGTAGCTTCTAGCTTAAAAATAAGATAAAAGCTGTTTGGAAATTACATAAAAGTTTTAGCTTAAAAATTACTTAAAAGCACGTATTTCAAGAAAATTATCTTTCTCTCTATCTTTATCACTCTTCATTTAAAAAAAAAAACACACAGTTCAAGAAAAACATATAAGAGCTTAAAAAAAAGCTCCTCCTAAGAGCTTTTAATTTTCAGTTTTTTTCTTCGTTATAAAAAAAAGAGCTTTTCGTTATAAGAGTTTTTCTCAAAATCTATTTGGCCTAGCTTATGCTTATAAGTAGCTTTTAGCTTAAAAATAAGAGGATCCAAACAGGCACTTAAAATGACATAACTTTCTGTTATTTAAAATGACAAATATTTTTCGCTAATGTTAATAAATAAATAAACACTTCGAACATGTCAGTTTATATCTTACTACCATAACTAGTTTTTAAAATCTCTTAATTAAAGGAAATAGTATTAAAAATCTCAAACAGAACCTATGGGACGGCGACGTTTCAGAGTGGGTTCCCTTCTTTGACAAAGACAACGGCAGTACTTACTTCCCCATACTCAGAGGCCAATGCCACAAACTGAATTTTTTTTTTTTAGGCTAATCTGTCCTATTGTTACTTTCTTCCCCGCCCTTATATGACAATATCAACTCTACCTCTGTATGGGAACAGTTTGCATATTTACAAATCAAAGTTGACAAAAAAAGAAAAAGAAAAAAGAGAGAGTAGATAATTAGTAATAAGGAGTGTAGTGTTTGTAAAGATAGATTGCTCTATAGATACATGCGAGAGTAGGAATAACGGAATAAGAGAGCCTGCGTCATATTTCATCCCATTGTTTTTTATCTAATTAATAAAAGGGAAATGTAAGAGTTTTTTTTTGCAGCAATTAATTACAATTATGTTTTTATGGTAAAATATAATTATAATTTTAAAAGTTAATTTTTTTTTCTCATCTCGTAAAGCTGTCGGCTGATGTGATGGAGAAAAACAAAATAATTTTAATATTATAATTATCTCTTATCGGTAAGATAGTTGTAATTAATTGTTGCACAAAATTTAAAGGGTTAAATGTGTATCATTTTAAAGTACACAACATAAGTTGTGTCCTTTTAATTTCTTATACTATGTACTACTGGTATTACATAATTATATTAAGAAAAGTTATTTTTTTTCTCTATCTATGTCAACTGAAGTGACTGAGGAGAAAAAAAAAATAATTTTTTATATTATAATTATATACTACTCGTAGTATATAGTGTCAAAAATTAAAAGTACAGAATTTGAGTAATTTAAAAACGATAAACCTTTTTCCCTAAATATAAATTTCATTCAAGCATCATACAGCATCAAAGTAGACTTTTTCTAACCCCCCCCCCCCCCCCAAAAAAAAAATCCTTTTTGTAAATTGCTATTCAAATACAGAGCAACAGCAGAAATTTCTACACGATTCTATTGTAAAATACAATCATTAGATAAATGTAATTTACTTCCTTACAACGAACATTAACGGGTCGTTTGGTAGGAAGTATTTTCTCGAATTTTTAAAAAATTGAATTTTTTTAAATTTTAAATTTTCAGATATTATTATAAACTGAATGCAAAAATTATATTTTTGAAAATCGAGATTTTCAAATAAAAAAAATTTCTCCTATACGAAACGCCCCATGCGAAGAATGATTCCTACAAATTGGTAAAATTAAGTCTTACTTTTCTCAAACTTTTTCCCTGTATTTCTGTTCCTCACTCATTAGTCCTTTAAATCCTCACCCATTGACACTGATCATCTGTAAAATACACACACACACCCTATATTCCTAGTCTGCCAAATAAAATAAAAGAAGACCAACGATTTAGTCCTCAGCACCAAGCCTTAATATAGAACCAAGTGGAAAGAGAGGGACCGTACTATCATAATCAGCGATATCAGTTATAAAAACCCACTGAATATAGAAAGGATGCGATCTGAGTTTTTGGGATCGAGAGGGTTTCAGGGTTCGAGATTGATTGGAAGAATCTGAAGAGGAAATGAGAGGGGAAATGATGAGATCTGGGTGATTGGGAAGTGAGAAAATAAAAATAAAAAAGCATAACATATGCAGATCTAAAAAGCCATAACAGATGCAGATGTGAGAAAATTTTATTCTATGATTTTACCTTCTTACTGTTTTCACTTTAAAGCCATGACAGATGCAGATCCATTCACGCAAATCTATCAACGAAAGAACTTTGAACATTATTCAATAATAAAAAGGTCAGATTCACAAATGTAAAAGGAAGAAGATTTTCTTGTTAGGATTTAAGAAAAAAAACCTTAACGCTGCACTGAGAAAACTGAGTGGTAGGATTTTTTGTTATTCCCTTTTTATAGATAATTTCACAGGTTATGTTTATTTTATTTAATACGAGATAAATAATTTTTTTATAAAAAAAAAAAGTTAAATATCATCACTCTTTTTTCTTTCTCCTTTTGGTTGTAGATTCCGCTTATAATTTTATTTCTACATTGTAAAATAATTTTTTTCCTACAACATACACTTATAATTTTATTACTACGACATAAGATAATTTTTTTTCTACGACAAAAAATATTTCCCTATTTTCATGCATCGAATTGCGAAATAAAAAGACTGTAGGATGCCTTGTGGTTCATGTCATCCTTCTTGTTCCTTTCGTCATGTTTGAAATACAAAACTTTTTTGTGACTTGCGCGTCTTGTAGCAGGTTTGTTTTCAAATTAATATCACTTTAATGCAATTGACTTAACATGCGACGACTTGAGCCGAAAAAAAATTAAATTAATAAAATAGAAAAAAGTCGGTACCTATTTATGGGACTGGAAATTTCGCACCTACTTTTGGGCCCCTTAGAGGTTAGGTTGCTGGGCGCAACTTATCTCATGATACACCTGCTATAAAATTTTCAACTATTTAGTTTTACTGTAAAATTTCGAAAAATTATTATTTTGTATTCAAATATCTGAATTATGTGCTTTTATTTTAAAGAAAAGTTTATTAATACTCTGCTTACCAAAAAAAAAAAAGTTTATCAATACTCTTATTATTACATATGTTTATGTGATTTACAAAAAGATATTTTTTTTTTTCATATATGTTCCTGTGTTTTTTTATTTTTTATAAACTATAAGGACATATGTGATATACAAAAAATCATATGGACATATGTGATTATGTAGCAAATCACAAGAACATTAATAAATTTTTATCTTTATTTTATTCAACGAAATTTTTATCTTTATTTGCTGTAGCTATTCTTCTATATTAAAAGAATATGGAAGAATAGAATAGCTACAACAAATAATTGTATAAGTAATTATATCAATTAAAAAGTTATATCAGTTAGCTTAATTACTTCGCGAAGTACATGGGTCCCGGAAAATAGGACATCGCATTTGTGAATATTCATGTAAGCAATAAACCATTCTCTACAATTCTCTTAAAAAAATTCTCTTTTCTTCCAAGAGTTCACGAGCTTGCTACTATCGACCTTCCACTCAAAATCATAAATTCATCACAAACTTCTCACACAAATACAAGGTTCACTACCATCACCTGCACTTAAAAATTTTATCTTAAATTTTGCGTACCTTTTGGAAATCGACAGACATACAAATTGAATAACGAAAAAAAGAAAAGAAAAAGAGATTTGACACAGTGATTTACCTGGTCCTCTCGATGTAGATTACATTCAGCTTGTCTGTATTATATTCATCTCATCCTCACTCGTTACAAGTCACTAAGTTTATAAAAGAATATAAATAGAATTTAGAAAACCTTAACAACAGTTATTCATTGGACCAAACCCAAACTACTAAGTAAAAGAAAATTACAATATGTTATAGGCTCACAACAACACCAAGCCTCTACGAAGTCGGGGGCGCTACCCCCGGACCCCCGTCGGGGTGGCTCCCCCAAACCCAAATTGTCTTTCACTGACCCTGTCAATAAAGATCCTCGTCAGTATTCGAAGTATGAGCCATATCTAACACTTTGATCACCTTCCCACATCTCTTTTTATACAAATGCATAATTAACAAACAAAGACATTAATTGAAATCATAAATTTTCACAAAGTGGAAAGGTTAGAGATTTTAATTTAGGAACAGTCTCTTTGCAAAACCATACAAATATAAGACTACATACAAGAATTATCCTCACCCCTGTAATCCTTAGTTGGAATTTATTGAAGAGTAGTTTACTTTTTAATAGCTTTATTGATAAATCTTTCTCCATTTGCGTCACTAGTTAATGCAAAAATGCTCAAGGATGTCACTAGTTTTCTTCCCTTGTGGTGATTCTGAATTCCCTCAACTCTTCATATTTAAATGGACGACAGAGGCGTACATGATTAGGTTCCACAAGCTCTACCGAGGCCTCAACATTACCATCCCTTGTTGCTAACATAAATGCACCAAATGAATAACGAGTAGTTGTTTCCTTATATAGTACACGATGCTTAACATTGTGAAATCTTCCATTGCTCCATACCTATGTAAAGATATATTTCAAGAGCATGTATAAATTAAGTTTACAAAAACCAAAATAGGTTTTTATTTTATCCAAAGAAAATTTAAGCCTAAAGGCTATATATGCTTACATGTGCAACATCTCCAATAATGCAAAGGAAAGACCCTGGTTTAGAGGGATTGCCAACAATGAGCTAGAGTCGTCCATCAACTCAAGACCACCAATGTAACAGCCCGTTGTACACCAGTATTGTTAACATTGATTATGATATTAAGCGCAGTTACAATCACAGCAATTCATTTATAAAAATGAGATTAAACTTTTTCCTTTTTATTATGCGGACATTTAAAATAATAATAAAGCGTACTAAATAAAAGTTGTGACCGTAACTGAAAACTAATTGCGGAATAATAATATAAAAGGTCTAGATATCATATAATATTTCTCTCAAGTCACTAAGGGGTTCCCATAAACTCAGCCTAATTCTCACTCTTACGGTTTTAAACTATCTGAACATAGTTCTGTATTTCGGTTACTGAGCATAATCTGTTTATTGCGTACCTCTCATCTTTTAGTATGTTATTTTATACTTAATTATCTTTCTAACAATCTATCAAGCTCCAAAAAGTTCTCGTTTGCTCCGGTTATCACCGTTTGAAGTAAGACAAGCAAATCTGCCAGCCAACCTCAAACTGCACTCCAAACATCCCTCACTCTTTGAACGATTACGGACAGACCACTCTACCAATTTCTCTCAAATTTTTATATAGAAAACCAGACACCTCAAGCTTCAATTTGACGTATCATGCACCTAATTTGATCAAGAAACGAAGGACGAATAATTTTCCCAAAAACAGTCAGTGACAGCCCCAAGTGCATGGGACTTTTGGGCAGTCTGTGTTCTCTGGCTTCTACAGGGCAGCATGCTACTCCTATAGTTCTCAAACTTTGACACAAGGTAGTTGATATCTCGAGCTTCACAATGGTGTATGGCACGTTCGTATTGGACTTTTATGGAAGGAGATATGCTCTCCCAAAGTTCACTCAAAATCTGCCAATTTCTAGAAATTTTGCTAAAGTTTCCTTTGTTTTTCCAACATATCCCACTTTTTAAAATTGCATAATCTATCCTTAAATGGTACCTAATAAATATGGGTGGCACTCAAGGACCAGCAATGTCTTGGTGCTTTTATAGCCCTTCACAATTTATATTAAAAGCTTACTTTACAACTCATCAATTACATTATCAAATCTTAAACCATTTCAATCACATTAATTCCTTTGCATGCATTCTTTTGACATAAAACATAAATCATATCCTAGAATAGGCCTATTGTCCTTTCATCATAAAGCATCCTTTAAAATTACACAAGGTCTCAATATTACAAATTACAGTGTTTCTTTACAACATTTACATTAATCCTTCAAATATACATAATGGACCTCCAAAATAAATCATGAGAAATAATGGCTAAACTTAGACAAAATATGACATGAACAAAAATGACAAATAAATAATCCTAGATCACATGCAATGCAATGTTCATGTCTTAAATCTAGCCTAGGCCAAATGGTCCCAAAATGCAAAATAACTCCAAGTCCAAGCTCATCCTACGGGCCTTTTGCCCGAAGCTCCTATGTCACTGCCACTACTTGAAATAAAGTCCACAAAACGGGGTGAGATATATGGATATATCTCAGTAATCCAGATGTTCTGGAGATTACTCCACCTAATGGCTCACTCAGATGCATATCAATTATATATCACAACATTCAAAGAGGGATAAAGCAAAGGATTTAGTGAAGTAGGGGACATATGGAGTAAAATTACGACGAAGTTGGAATGGTCGATGCTAAAGCCACGCAACGTCCGACCTATTGGCCTTGACATATAGCCTACGGGTTCTCATCCAAGGAAGTGTTTCCAGAACATCAACCAAGGCACCCTATATTCATATACACCCGAGACTTCCTAGTGTGCTCCTCTACGGATGACACACCACGACCCCAGGTCAATTGGAACTCCCTCATGGAGACCTATCCAGTGGGAGTCTGTAACGCCTGAAGGCAACTGTCTACTGGCCAGAGACTCGGTACATCCTATGTACCACTAAACATACAATAATGCATGAACATGTTATACTATATTACCAACATCCACCTCCAACCACTACCCTCAAGGGGCATGGTCGAGCACACACGGGGATCAAACCTCTGTACCAAGGGATTATCTGATAAAATTCTTCTCGCTTAATAGCTCCAATTTAATACGTCCCCGAGCTTGGTACTTCAAGAAATGCCTACACATAGGCCATTTCCAATACAATTATAATCAACCCAAAAGCATATACATGCTCATTAAATATTCATGCATATAATCATGACAACTTACCAAAATCCTTTTGGTCAAGGACCAAAGGCAACCCACCAAGCTCAAAGCTCCAGATTTCTGTCCGTGGGAGGCAACCTACAATGATCACACAAGGATCATCAATTCATGGTGCAATCAACAAGATTTCAAAGCACCAAAATCCACCCTCCCCACATGTATAGGTTCGGCCATTTGGCCAAGAATTTCCCAAACAATTTTATTAATTTTATTTCATAGTTTCCATGGTTTCCTAAACTTACCATAACATTAATTCAAGTCCTCAAATCAATTTAAAACCATGCTAGCACAATCCTTCCTAATTTCCCTCTCATAGGCCGAATGCACACTCACACATAATCCAATATTTTTCCTTCCAATTTCACTTCACCACACCAACATACAACTCATTGAAACACCATTTGCCACCACACCACATCAATTACATAATTTTACAACATCAAACCTCACATGCCCTC